TTTCTTGGCTGATATGTGCACCATCAGAGCTGTGAAAACCTCCAGGAGAAATGTTAATCAATATACAACTAAACTCAAATGGGAGCTGAACATGCAATAATTTGGATCTTCCACTGTCAAGCCTATGAAGGATGGTAAGTTTCACTAACTTTCTTTTTAACCAGAGACTTAAATTACATACTAAAGCCTTTAACAGTAACACATTTGATATCAACATTATGTCATCATTCTGTAAAACATTATAATAAACAGCACACAATGGCTCGGGTGTAATGGTAGATCAGGACATAACTACAACCTTAGCACCCAACATGTTTATGCGCTGCATCCTGTAAAGGACATCTCCATTGCAATGTCTCGTGGTTAACTGAAAGTAAGTGATGCCAGATGTAACAGATGGATGCTAGTGTTGTAGAGGGCGGAAAAGCAATAATGTTATCATGGCGAACAAGAGAAGACAACCGTTGTAGTGATTGGGAGGGTGCGAGCCAGACAGTGACGGAGGGAGGGACAGAGAGGAGGCGGGAGGGAGAAAGAGGGAGGGTGGAAGGAAGTCAGAGGGAGGCTGGGAAAAGATGGAAAGAATAGGACTCAATGGCAAAACAGATAAGGACGTAGCAGAACAAAACTAAATAAAATGTCAACTTGCGTGAAAAGTAGAAAAGCAATCAAGGCTTAAAACAGAGAATGCAAAAAAAGAAAAGAAGAGCAGCAGTGATAAAGAGACAACCCAACAGACAACAGTGGTAGAGATGAATAGACACTGTTCCAGCAGGTGTCCTGAACGGCTCAGTATTTATGGCTGTGCATGTGTCAAGTCATTCTGTCTGGCCACCTGCATTCACCCAAAACTGTCCTCTATGTCTTCCTCAAGCTACACTGCCTGCAGCTACACGCACACACACACGCACCCACCCACACACACACACACACACACACACACACACACACAGTTACTATTATACATCGAAACGGGATAATACTTTTGAAAGACCCCTTCAGTATATTTGTGCTTATTTTAACTACACTGAAGAGATACAGTTAAATTCATGAAATACACTATGTGGTCCCCCATGTTTGGGCACTTCTGTCTGCATACTTTTGTGTTTTTCAGGTAGTTAGATACATTAATATACTGCTACTCAACTCAACGTTCAACTGCTTATGTGTACAGCGCTTGTATGTACACAGAAGTTGTACGTCTGTGAGCTCTTGCTGCAGCGGTGGGCTGAGCTGCCGAGCATCATCAACGTAAATCTTAATTAAGCTTCCCTCTCTATCTCAGTGACATTCCTCCACTCTACTGACTCATGATGTTCTCTGTTTCTCCTCATGAATTTATTAGGGCCAGAAGCGCAACTGGCAGCCATGTTTATTGTATGACACTGCGGCTGTGGAAGAAGCATTCAGATTTTTTCCTTAAGTTGCAAGTAAAAGTTCAGACAGCAAACCTTTATCAAATATCATCAAACCTTTACCAAATGCATTGTTTGCAAATGCATTACACAAGTAACATGAGTAAACGTAAACGTTTTGCTGCTATGACCTCTCTTTGTCTGTTATCACCACTAGTTTATGTAGGCTAATGTTAGCTAACATTGTTGTTATCACTTTACGTCACTAAGTCAGTTTATTAACTTTATGAGTCTTATCTACTTGTGCTTCACTAGAAATCTTCTTACTAGAAAGGTTATGGGTATGCGAAGGTGGTGAAATCAAATACTGTGGCCAGTACCATGATAAAGAGCAAACAACAACACAGCAAGTAATGTATCTAACATTAGCTCAGTTGTGGATTAACAAACTGTCGCTACAGTTGCTCCCGCAAAGTTAACATGCAGGACGAGTCGGTCCCAGAGCCAGCACACCAGCTCCTGACAGCAAAACTCACAACTCTGCTGCTAGTAGCTAACATCACAACAACAGCGTGTCTTTGTAAACTAGAAAGTAAGCCGAATGTGGGAAAGTAATTTTACAGCCACTTTGTTTGCTTCCCATTTACAAAGCCATGGCTGTGTACAAACAACAGAGTTTGTATTTCAGTGCACACAGAACAAACAGCTAGCGGACCATGAGGACATATTCGCCACAAAAATCAGCCCATACATATACCCCCACATAAATAGGAGGTAATACTATTTAGGGACATGGTTACGATGGCGAACACTGAGGTTTAGTCCTCAGTATTTTCTTCTGGGAATTTGGAGCTTTTAGAAACCTGGGGGAAGTTACATTCTACAAATGAAAAATTACACATGATGGGATTTATTTGGATTTACTTATTTGTCAGAATTTTAATGAAAAATCGCACCAAATTCTTGTTTTACACTTTTTTTTTTACAGGGACTTGATACATGACCTCGGCATCTGTGAGATCCTGGCTACAGCTCTGATACTGCTGACTTTTATTATCAAAGGATGCTTTTGGAATATGTTCTCCATTTGTCATGTTAATGCTTTACTATTAGCAAACATTGCAATGCTGCTACTTATATGTGCGACTCAACAGTATATCTGAATAAAAGGTCATGCTGTCCTTGCATTCTCTGCATCAGCATATATAACAACATATCCCTGCACTATATCACCTAAACATGCCCGTTCTTTGACCTCATTCAAAGATGAATGGTCTCTATACGTTCTGGACTGGACTCTGTGTTAGGGAGGCTGGGACAGGCTGGGATGGGCCCGTCTGCTTGCAAGAGCCTGTTTCTACTGCAGTGCCATTTGAAAACACTCCAACCCTTCTGCAGTGCGCTGGAGCCCAGAATTGATGCTGAATGACTCCCCTGTTTTTGCCCAGCCCACACACCCTCACTCTGCCGTGTACATCACACCACTGCCGCCCTCGTAGGGCATTCAAAAACACCTCAAGGTTCTGTGTGAACAGCCCAGCAATGAAATATATGCATCTCAAATCCTGCAGCCAGCAGGAGGGCCCGCACAGAGATACTCACGGAGCAGTGGTCAAGGACACTGTAACGTCAGCAAGCGAAGAGATTGTGGGTGCGGCTGCTGGTGTACATAATCATTTACAGTATGTATTAGTGCTTAAAATAGGCACACACACACACACAGGAGGAGAAAGTCATTGTGGTCGTCTCTCTCTCCCTCACTCTGTCTAGCTTTCTCTCTCTATTTCTCTCCCTGTCTCTGCCTCTCTGTCTCTGGAGCAATCTAAAATTGTCCTTGCTTGATGCATTAGCTCTGCTTGACTAAAGCCTGCAGTGGAAAGCCAATGAGGGGGACGACAAAATGTAGACAGGTGATTAATAGCAAACGTCTAATTCAGTGTTGAAAAGCAGAAAAAGCTCTCGCCTCACACGCTAGACCCATAACAAGCAGACGTTTAAACGTGATACCTTGACATCAGTTCTGACATGTTCATTACCTAAATTTATATTTGTGAGAACGTTTGTGCAGAGTTCAAGAATTGCCACTTAACTGGAATGAATAATCACCAGAAATAGGATATTTGTACAAGTTTATGTCTTGCAGGACTTACAGTATGGCTGCACCTGTAGAGCAGTGAGATGATCATTTTAGATTAAATACATAAAGTACAGGAGCCTGAAAATCACTAATGCAGCTGTTGGTTGTTTGGTGCATTACCTCCGACAATTGGTAATCATTTCGATTGATGATCGGTGTGACCTGAGATTAGAGTGAAGCATCAAGATTGAGAGGAGATCAATAGCCTGTCATAGAGGCCAAGCCACCAGAATGGCAGGTCACACAGACGCTTCAATGTTCGGGGGGGAAATGTCTCGTGAATGTACAGATAGGCCACAAATCCCACAAGGCTTTGTACCTACTATAGTGAGGATCCTACAGATAGCCGTGGAGATAGTCCTCCGAGAAGGACAAAGCACATGCATGTGCGTCTGTGTGGTGTACAAATGTGAACATTATACAGTAAAGCTATGCAGGAATATCCATACAAGACAATATATTACAAAAGGTCTCAGTATTACAATACTCTGTGAACTCTCTTAATTGTTCTGATTTTGAGATGTATATGCTATAGACATTTGAAAAGATTACCTGTTAATTCTTGCTCTTTTTTGCAGCATTTTGACAGGCTGTTGGACCTTTTATTTTTTAGTGATGCTATTGAAAATAAATAAGGACTAAAATAAATCAGTTTCTAGACCTGAATGGAACAAATCTATTATCTTTCTATTAAACGGCAATAGGATCTGTAAACTACCAGTCATTATTATTATTATTGTTATTAGTTCTTGAAGGTTTGTTCAGTATTACCCTGCTTCAGTGGCCCCATAAGAAAAACTGTGAAATCTATAAATGCAGAATCACTATAAAACAAACTCTGAACAATAGCTGATACTAAAGGATACTACAAATGACATACTTCTTGGCATTTCTCTTCCAAATGGTAAATAAGGAATATATATTGACACATACTCATATGACATTATGCCAAGTCCTGCCACCACAATCACCACACACACTCATGTAGGCCTAGTGGAAAGGTCTCAGGACACACACAGCACCCAAGTGACAAGACAGCCCATGGCAAAATCTTCATATCCCTTACACTTTGTGGCAGCAACGATCACCGTGGTCGCTCAGGTTCTTGCATTAACAGATCACTTGTAAAATAAACTTCTGTCATTTCATGACATGACTGATGTGTTTGCAGGTCGCTGTCCGTGGAGGTGAAATGACAGGACCAACTTGGCAGTGATTGTTTCACAAGATCAGTCACATCAAATGAATATGATGAATTTAGGCTCTGCTTTGAAGAGGTTTCAGACTGTTTTAAACTTTAAGGTTAAGTTGTTTTTCCAACATACATTGTCTATCTATCTAGCTATCTAGCTATCTATCTATCTATCTAAATTGGACACCCACGCAGCGCCTCCAGCCCACGTGGTCCAGACTGAAAGGGATCTGGGACCATTAGCAGACGGCCTGGCGGGGATGCGCCCTCCCCTCCCTTCCCATCAATGGACGAAACAGAAGTGCTTGGACTTGCCTTGTTAGCGGTAAAGCCTCAGATATATAAGGAGCAGACAGATGAGGTCTCAGTCGCTGTGAGAGCCATACACCCCTCACCTGCACACACACACACACATAACACACACACACATACACATCCGCCACACGCCTCCACCTCCTGCACCGTTCCCCTTCATTCCTGCGCACATCCCCTACGGTGGTCTGACCGGATGAGTTACTCGGTGGACACGATAGGGAGCCCTTTCAGGAGAAGCATGGATACTAGGACGACTAGCTACGGCTACAGCCGCTCCAGCGGCACCCCCTCTAGCGGCTTTCGCTCCCAGTCTTGGTCCCGGGCAAGCCCCGGCTCCACCATGACCACGTCTTACAAGAGGAGCGTGAATGTGCCGGCATCCCGGGCTTACAGCTCAACGGTGCTCAGCTCCGCCGACAGCGTTGATTATAGTCAAACCTCCATCCTGAACGGAGACTACAAGCGATCTAATGAGAAAGAGCAACTTCAAGGGCTCAACGACCGGTTTGTCGTTTACATTGACAAGGTGCACTACCTGGAGCAGCAGAACAAGCAGATCGAGGATGAGATCCAGGCACTGCGGCAGAAGCAGGTGTCGCGCTCCCAGCTGGGCGACCTCTACGACCAGGAGCTGCAGGAGCTGCGCTCGATGCTGGAGCAAATCCACCACGACAAGGCGCAAATTCAGCTCGACACTGACCATATCGAGGAGGACATCCAGCGCCTCAGGGACCGCTTTGACGAAGAGGCTCGCATCCGGGAGGAGACAGAGGCCATCATCCGCGTCCTGAGGAAGGACACGGGCGACTCGGAGTTGGTGAAGTCTGAGTTGGAGAAGAAAGTTCAGTCGCTCCAGGATGAGATCGCCTTCATCCGCAACAACCACGAGGAAGAGGTGAGCGACCTCATCGCCCAGATCCAGGCGTCTCAGGTGACCGTGGAGAGGAAGGATCATCAGAAGGCAGACATCACCGAGGCGCTGCGGGAGATCCGCTGCGAGCTGGAGGGCCACTCCAACCAGAACCTGCAGCAGGTGGAAAACTGGTTCATGTGCCGCTACGCCAAGCTCACCGAAGCTGCGGAGCAGAACAAAGACGCCATAAAGTCCGCCCGTGATGAGATCTCCGACTATCGCCGCCAGCTGCAGTCCAAGACGGTGGAGTTGGAGTCCGTCCGCGGGACAAGAGACTCACTGGAGAGGCAGCTGAATGACATCGAGGACCGCCACAACAGCGACCTGGCCAGCCTGCAGGTAGGGAATCAGCCCGAGGCAGCAACAGAGCCGTGCGTAAAGAGCTGTAAAGAAAGGCTGTTTTGAATAGACTTTTAAAAATTAGATAGGGGACTTATTTGATGTTTTGAGATTTAACAAATCTTTTTGTTATGCGTTTAAAACTTAATAATCCGGATTTGAGTTGCTCTCATGATGAAGAATAGATTAAATTAAATTGATCATATTCTTTATATTTAAGCAACGTATATTTTATTTGAGGTTCTTAAACACAGCAAACTTCCTTAATGACAGTAAAACATATCCTATTTTCTTTTCTCTATCACAGTTGAGGGCCCGTGCTTAAACATTTTCTCCTGCGTAATGATTGCTGTGAGGAATCATTGCACTCAGCGCTGACTTTCTTTCCAAGCTTAAGAGATTTCCAAGTGTCAGGAAATGGTTAAAAGGGGAACACTGCAGCAGACTCTCTCTATCTCTCTCTGTCTTGCTGAGTCAGAGGCATGGGTCCATGCCTTCATTGGCTATGTCCTTGCATCACACCAGATTTTGTGGTGGGGGCGGGGGTGTATTGACAACTGTGGAGGCTGCCCTTGACAAAGGAGCACCCAACATCTCTAGAATACTGTATTGCGTCAGAATATATTAAAGCAACACTTAGGTGCACTACAGAGGTCTACAGAGTTGCTAAAATGTGCAGGGGGGGGGGGGGATACAAGAGGGCTAAATTAACATTTAGTTTAATTACATTAAGATCAATTAGAAAAAGGCTTTGTAAAAACGTTGCCATGATTCCAATCCAAGGATTCAGTAATGAAAACTGCATAAATGAATCTGCAAAAGAGAATGAAGCTTTTGTAAGCACATCAACCTTGTGTTGTGTCTTTTCTGTTTTCCCTTAGGAGACAATTCACCAGCTGGATAATGAGCTCAAGAGCACCAAATGGGAGATGGCTCGTCACCTGCGCGAGTACCAGGACCTGCTCAATGTCAAGATGGCCTTGGACATTGAGATTGCTGCATACAGGTATATACTGATATGCATTTGACATGTGAAAAAAACATTGTTTAGAAATAGCATTTACAGTCAGTTTCCCCAAATCCTACTCTTCACTGCACAAAAGTGACTATTAAAAGTATGATTTATCCATCTGTTGTCCCCAGGAAACTCCTAGAGGGCGAGGAGACCCACTTTAGCACTTTCCCTTATCGCCACACTGTCACCTCCACCAAGATCTCTAAGTCTAAATCAGAAACTCCCAAACTTAAGGTGCAGCACAAGTTTGTGGAGGAGATCATCGAGGAGACCAGGGTGGAGGATGACAAGGCCGACATTGACGAGGCCCTGGCTGAGATAGCACAGGAGCTGTCTGCCACACTCGGAGGGGGAGCTGAGGAGGGAGAGGAGGAGGGGGAAGAGGGAGGAGCGGGAGAGGAAGCACAGGATGATGGGGAAGAGGGAGAGGCAGAGGGCGTGGAGGAGGAAGTTGTAGCCGCCACGGAAGCCAAAGTTAGCGCTAGCGCACTCACTAAGGAGGAAGAGGAAGAGGAGGATGGAAAGGGTGGTGATGAGGAAGAAGAGGGGGAGGGAGAAGGCGGTGAAGAAGGAGAGAAGGAAGAAGAAGGTGAGGGAGAGGATGAGGGAGAAAAGGGGGATGATGCAGAGGGAGGAGATGAAGGAGAAGGAGAAGAAGGAGGAGAGGAGGAGGAGGAGGAAGTTGAGGAGACAGTATTGTGCTCCAAAGCTCCAGAGTCTAAAGCCTCTCCTGACAAAGAGAAGGCCGGAGACAAAGATGGCAGCGGTGGAGAGGAGGAAGCTGCCGCTGAAGAGGAGGGTGGCGATCAGGATGAAGATGCCAGCATTGACAAAGCATCCAAAAGCGGAGATGAGAAAGAGGAAAAAGAGGACGCAGACAAAAGCAAAAAGGAAGATAGTGAAAAAGACGAGAAGAAGGTGAAAGACGACAAAGCGGACGACAAATCAGAAGAAGCTGTAGCCAAGACAGAAGCTCCGAAAGCAGAAGCTGCAAAGCCTGAGGCCAAGAAGGAAGAGGCTGCCAAAACAGATTCTCCAAAGTCGGAATCCCCAAAGCCTGGATCCCCCAAGTCTGAATCACCTAAACCTGAGTCTCCTAAATCTGAATCTCCCAAGCCTGCATCTCCAAAGTCTGAGTCCCCCAAAGAGGGCTCACCGAAGGCTGGATCCCCAAAACCAAGCTCCCCAAAAGCTGAGTCACCTAAGTCAGAGTCCCCAAAACCTGAATCTCCAAAAGCTGAGTCCCCAAAGACAGAGACTGCCAAACCTGAGGCTCCTAAGGCTGCTGAAGAGAAATCAGAGAAGACGAGTGACTCAACCGAAGACAAGAAGGTCGAAAAGAAGGATGCGGCCATGAATGGTGATTTAGACAAGAGCAGCCCAGAAGAGAAACAGAAGAAGGATGAGGGGAAAGAAGCCGACGTCATCGCAAACGGAGTGGATGAGAGCCCTGTCAAGGAAGATGGCAGCCAGAAAGTGGTGATCACCAAAACCGTGGAGACCATCACCACCGGAGAGGACGGGTCCAAGCATGTCACCAAATCTGTCACTGTGACCGAGACAATGAAGGAGGTGGAGGAGATGGAGGAGGTGGTGCAGGAGAAGCTGGTCTCCACCAAGAAGACGGAGAAGCACTCCACCCAGTCCATCAAGCAGGTGACAGAGGGTGACTGAGCAGACTCCAGATGGCCGATCCAGCGGAGGAAAGGGTGAGGGGGGGTGGGCGGGCAGAGGCGAGGACACGAAGACAAGCAATCAACCCAGAACTAACATAACAAAGAAAATCATACAGCTAGAGCGACGTAATAAAGATAACCACTCTCAAACATACGAAACAAATCATAGAGAGAAGGCAAAACTTAAATGCTACAGATTTCAAAAATGCATGTTGAGTGACAGCTTTAATCGGGCTTCGCTGCAGACGCAGTCAGGAGCAAGCGACTGAGACATTTTATCCTTTTTTTCTTTCTTTCTGCAGTTCACGGGTGAGCTCACGGGAGGGAGGGGAGGCGGGGTGGGTCTCTGCATGCTAGCTCAGGAGAGGGGAGTATGTTCCTCTCTTATCTGTATGTATGGTAGAAATACACTGTAAAAAGAGTAAATATGTAAAAGGAATAAATATAATGTGTGTGGGAGAGTGAGAGTACAATTATTAAAGTCGAGAGTTTTTTTGAGTTTAAGTAAAATGGAGGGGGACAGGCAGGTGGGAGGGTCCTCCACACTGACACGTGCTCTACTGAAGAAGCCTTAAATGACATGTGAAGAGACCAACTGAGCCAAAAAAAAAAACTAACAACAAATACACAACTTACAATGGAGAAAGAGATGGGCAGTGATATGATAAACACATGACCATTTACATCCAGTTACTGAAGCAGTTGAAGCTTAACGAACCTGAAGAAACTCCTAGCCTTAAACATGCTTTTTATCAGTGTCTGTTATGTTTACCTGAGTGCAAATGAAAAAGAAAACACTGTAAATGCGCAGATACATGCATTCTTGTATGCATAGGATGGACTTTAAATACAGAAATAAATGAGGTGCTACTGTTTGCAATCCCATGACTTTAGTCATCATGAACTATTTCCCAGCAGCATTTGCTCAATAAATGTCATAATGAAGTAAAAAAAAAAAAGTGTGTGTTGTCATTTTTAAGTAATGTATTATTGCTTTGCAATTGCAGGTATCAAATATTACATTCGACTGGTTACATTTAGTAGTTTGTATGTAGCTGAAAGTATTACAATGTAGCTATAGAGCTTTACAATAAATGTTTTGAAATGAATGGTTTAGAGTTTAAAAAAATGATTACATCTTATATCACCATGTGATTTAATGTGGTCAACTAATTGAACTAACATTAATATTATCTTAACCACAAAAAAATATAATACCAATCTGTGAAGACGGCTATTAATGAATATTTAAAGCTAATATGTGAATCATCAAATACATAATACATGTAACAGTTGTCTCTTGTACTTCCCCCAGATGACATATCTCATTTTGGATTTCACACTGAAGTGGCCACAGCCAGACTGATCATTAATATTCAGACAAAAAATATTTCATCATTAAAAGCAGCTGTTAAATTTTGGCAAATTTGCCAATAATGTTTTTAGTAAAGATAAAGTTACAAAGGATGTAACTTATCTAATGTAATTTAAAAAGTTCTTGGACTTTAATCGAACGCCATTAATCAGCTTCATGACATTTTTACTGGATAATTAATGTTGGAGAAACCAGTGTGATCAGGTTTGACGGCCCATTCAGAAAGGATGGGTAAGATTTATTTCTCGGCTTCTCGGCTTTCTTCAGATTTAGAAGTAGTTTGCCAAGAGGTTTTAAGTGGCTTTGTTTTATTTTTTGTCAACAGCAGCGTAAACCCACAGAGTGATGACAGATGTTATCGCTGAGAGGCTGGGTGCAAAGAACCAGCACTGCAGTGTCTAAAGATTTCTGTAATCACATTTTTAAACCCACCAGTCTACTCAAGGGAGTAAAATAAGAGAGCAGCTGCTAGGTGATGCTAGATGATAATGTGCGTTGGTGTGTTTATCACAGCAGGGAAGATTATAGATGTTGTACTTGTGAAACAGAGTATAAACTGTTACTAGTCTCTGCAAAAGTAGAGGTAATTGCAAAGACAAGGTTATGGGTCATCTTCTATTAAAAGATAAAATTAGTTTCATTGGGTGCCAGTTTGTTTTAATTTAACATGTAAATGGAATAATAACAAAGGAGACACCTTCACATTGGACTAATCATTGTCATTTATCTTAGTTTGTAGTGGCTAATGCTAACTAATATTAGCAAACTTTAGATAAAGTTTGTAGTGTAACTGATGTTACTGAGTCACTTTATTAACATCATGACATTTCCCTAAACTGTTAAACAATGTTTTTACTGTAAAATTTACTGTTATCCTGTAATTGCCTTACATAATATGCTTACTTTAATATCAGGTAACTAATTAAAGGTGGGGTATGCAATTCTAATCTAATACACGTCTTTTTGTCAGATTCATCTTCTTACTAGCTGTCATTTATGTGTGTGCTGGAAAAAAAATCAGTGTTTGTACACAGCCAAACAAAGTGGCTCAGACTGAGCCACACAACACTATTCTAGTCATGAACTGTACGTCAGGTAATGTGAAATTACTTGCCCACAGCTTTCTGGTTTGCTATTGTTGTGATGTTAGCTACAGGGGCAGGAGAGGCATGTGTAGTGCTGTCTGGAGCTGGTGGTGATACCTTTGGTGGGACACATCCACCATGTGTCTCTGAGCAAGACACTAAACCCCTAGTTGCTCCAGAGGCGTGCAACCTCTGACATATATAGCAAATAAGTCGCTTTGGATAAAAGCGTCAGCTAAATGAAGAAATGTAATGTGCTGCCGTCTTGTCTTCTCTGCATGTTAGCTTCGCAGCAGCAATTGTAGCAACAGTTTGCTAACCAACAACTTAGTTCTCTCTATATCATGGTTTTTGTCATAGTTTTGGGTTCCTCCAAAGTTGCTTACCTCACCTTTAAGTTTAAAGCCAGACTATGTAATGTTTACTGAACAGCACTCACTGTAGCCATTAGTTTACAGTTTGGTTTCCATCACATCACTTCCCTACATTCATGATTCTCGTGATTCAGTTTCTTTAAAGGCATAACCATAAGCAGACCTTACTGATACAAGTGGGATAGGTCACAAGTGGCTAACATTAGCACTAGAAGATTTGTAAAGGCATTAGCTAACATGAGCCATCATAAGCTACAAAGCTACAGTAAAGTTGTGGCAGCTAAACCTCTTGGTGTATCAAACTGAGTGATGGTGGATTTTATTGCTTATGAATCAACCTTTCATTTGTAAGCATTTGTTTTTTTAATATTTTTTTTCAAAAACTTACTTAGAGTCTTACTATACACACTACGAACCAAATCTGGAAATACGGTAGATTTTTTTTGATATCTTAAACTCAAGTAGTGTGCTTAGCTGGGTGAATGAAACACAGCGATTTTCTCGGAGCCCATACAATTCTGATAGGCCAATGCCAAACTACTTCAGCACATACAGTCCACAGTACTTAACTGAACCGGGAAAAATCAGGTGGATACGTTCCACTTTCACGGAGTTAGACAAAAGAAGCTGTTCTCAATCACGGAAAGTAAATTCATTCAAACGATCATTTTTTTTGAATGACGAGTTGTGTTTATTTTTCCATGTGCCATGGTCATGATCACATGACAGATTAGTTAGCACTTTAACACATCCTGAAGTTTTAAATGTCAAAGTTTTACAGTTTAGAAGTTAGTGAAGTTTAAACATCAGGAGTCACTGTTGGGACGATTGACGAACAGGTGTTTCAAGGTGTTTCAATTGTCCCGACACGTAGCCATGCAACCTCATTTAGATACGGTGGGAGGGGGGCAGAGTCCACTATAGGCTGCAGGCTGGACCACCAGGATACTCACAGCCAAATAACAGGGTCTTCACAGTAAACCAGGAAAACAGGCTGCAGATGTACATAAAAAGGGCAGGCAATATCTAATACAAATGTGCATTAGCTGTTAGATATTCTAGTTAGCTAGGTACGTTATTTTTATACTATTTTTATTAAGAAAAAGTACATAATGAGTTTGCAATTACGTATAAAGAAGGGCAGTGTAAAGCTTTCTAAATAAAAACAAGAATAACAAACTATTTAAATGTATATCTTTGGGCTGACCCCCAATAGTCGAAGATGATGCTTCGATGGGCGGAGCCTGATTCGACTGTCAATCTCACAGTCGAAGCATTGCAGTAAAACAAGGATCATGCCATTTTGGCGATATGGGGGTTTACATAGAATTACCAGTTTTCTCCCAATAAGTTAAAATACAGTATATTACAATACACATTTCAACGTTTAATGTAAATAAACATGCAAAGAATTAAACTTTCAATAAATGTTTTTAAAAGTGCATAAATAAATCCAAAATTGTAACCCTAACCCTGGATCGTCAGTGCGCATGCGTAGCGTAGCGAGTGTATGTGTTTGAACCGCGAGGAACCGCGACGTGCATATAGTTGCATGCATGCAAAACTCACACAAGACCAGTGAATGACTAGCGAGAGGGAGAGAGAGAGAGAAAAGGGTCTTCAAAAATCCTCAGTTTAGCTGGAAATTTACAGCTTAAGTTGAATGAATAGAGACTGCAGATCTGCAGTTTAAGTTACTGTGTGTAAACCCTGTCCCGCACAGTAGGGACAAATGAAACAATGCGCACCTTTCCTTCAAAGTGAAATTATACTGAAGTTGTTCCACATTTTAACAAGATAACACCTGGTATGACTTCTGTCTGTAACGTTATATTTTAAAATGAGGTATATCCGCCGAAAATTTATTGCAGATATTTTAACAGGTAAAAAGGGCTGGATTGGTTGGTACACAGCAGGTAAAATGCATAATATGTCATAAGGATAATTGCAAAAGAGATCATGTCTTTATTTTATATATAGTCTAACTTAGCAGTAAGTCATGTTATTATAGGCTACAGTCCGTTTTCCAATTGCAAATACGTATTCCATCGGCAACAACAGGCTTTTATATTTTCCTATAATCAAGTAAATGTCATGCCTGATCACGCTATAACAGCAAACACTTATTTGGCCACAATTGTTATTATTATGTTAAAAGAAACGGTAAAGTATCACACAGACATACCTTTGCTATTACCACGGA